TCTTTAGGCATTACTGTTTCATATATTTATGAGGTTCACAGAATCTATTTAATACACGAGCCCTTACATATCAGTTCAAAATTAAGAAAATCATTTATATTGATTATTATTTTTATATTTTTTGTTCTAAATTTATCTTTTACCTAATGTTTTATCAAGTATTGAAAATTAGTTTTCAATAAATAGAAAAAAGGAGCTGGTATGAATTAGAAACGGTAATCCGTAAGAAATTAGCCAATTAAATGCAAATCATACGTTAATAAATTATGAATGGTATTATTTTAAGTGCAGAAAAGTTTTGTGCTTTTCTTCGCGTTGTGAACAGGAAGGACAATAACTGAAAAGGAATGCGAAATAAAAAATTGGAACAATTTTTTGGTAATAAATCTGACATAAGAAAAAGAGAGCGAAGAGAGATTATAGGAAGCTTTAAAATTACGTAATAAAAATTAAGGTAATGAGACGAACTAGATTGCAGAGAACTAAGTAGCAACGATATTTGCAGAACAATTAAAATTGAATTAAAAAATATAAGTTTACAGATCAACTGGCGCCTTTCACAAACTCGGTTTTCCAAACGGAAAAGGATTATGTTGAGTTAATTATAAAAAAAAGTAATTTTTATTAATAGCATTATTGCATTTCGAAGCTATTTAATTTTATTATTCGTTAACCGATTGACATCAATTGAAAACCTCTATGGCTCGATAATTTGTTGATCGTGACTGGAAATTTTAGAATTCTTTATTAGATAATTACGCACCAAACCAAGCTACTGAAAATTTCAAAGAACTGATGGATGGTAAAACATTGTTTTGTTTGGTCAGTCAAGCATACCGAAACGTGGCAATATCTCAAATTAATATGTTTACCAATCGAACAACGAATTGGTACAGTTAATTATAAAAATATTAGCCTAAATATGAAACATTTTTAGAGTAAGTATCTGTGCAATTCGTGAATGGGCATATTTGTGAAAAGATAACACTCATTCTTTTCAAGTATCCAGATAACTTTAAGTAAACGTACTTTTCACTAAAATGTCTTATAATCAAATGACCTAACTTGCCTTCTTTTTTCGAAGCATCCACCTCTAGATGTAACAGAATGATCAAACAGCTAAGCATCAAAAACATGTTCATCTTGTTTATTTTCCACCAACTGCTGAAGTAGATCCAAGTGCCAATACACTGTTCACATCACGGATTCTCAATAAGCTACCACTATTGCCGGCTTCTAAATAACCGCAATGCTCTCACTTCACTAAGATGAGTTTCTATATTGGATATCAGAAAAGTCTTTTGAGCGTTTTCCACAACTAAACTAGCTTTTCAAAACGTGCACGTATGTAAATTAAGCACTTTGATGCAGAAAATCATTATATATTTAAAATGATATAGATAGATGTGCTTTTTCACACAGGTTTCCGCCCTGAAGACCAAATGTTACTGAAAATGATTTACAAATGAAATTTTCAGGAATATTTTACGATTTATAGCAAAGTCAAAATGCAAATTCGCTTGACTCAAGATCCTTTAAACACTGCGGAAACTCGGAGTAACCACACGGAAAACCGGACGAGATTTTCGCGGCGTCCGGGACCGTAAAATCGATTCAAATGTCAACACCGTGGGGATGATTGCGGCTCCATTGCGCCCCTAAGACTGACGATGTTTCTCCCCAAAATCCCTGATGCCCTTCTGCGCATGAATTCGTGCCCTTCGCGTATACCTGTAGGACAATAGGATTTACCGAAAACACTGGGTTCCGCGATACGGTTTTTGTTTTGCATTATCGTTGGAATCTTTGCTTTCTGCAAAATGTCCCAAGAATTTCTAATTCAAGAGAACGGATTACCAGTTTGGATCTGAAGTGGTTCGGACTGATTTGTTCAAATACGAAAGACAGTGCCTATTTAAACTCACTATTTACACCGGCACCGTAAGACATGCCATATATTTTATACCTGTGGCTTCCAGAGCATCAACGCTCAATTCCAGTTTTTTTGCCTAACTTCCGCTTGCATTATCATTAAAGCTCGGATTTAAAGGCAAGACAATTTGAAGAAAAAGGCGCCTATATAGGCAAGGATT